TCTTTCTATTTTTTTTTTGTTACTTTATATAAAGAGAAGACTTTCCTGTAAATTAAACAATTTAAATCAATTGCGTTTCAAAGTTATTCACAGAATTTAAAACAATAACCAATTTTTTTCCTAATTAGAAATAAATATCAGACATAATTTAAAGTCAATTTAAGTAATAGAAATGAGGCGATATTTAAGTTCAAGATAGATGAAAATTTCAATTTGAATGTAAATGACAAATATCGAGTAAATTTTCAATTAATCTCGTATTTTTATTTTTCACCTCAGATACGCCATATACAATGTATATTAGCTTTAAACATAGAAGATTAGACAGATATCTTTTAATTCCAAATCCCAAGAAGTGTTTATGCAATGTTTTCCATTAAGTTTTAATTTGCAATATGTACAATTTGTTCAGTTTAATGTTCAATAGAAGGAACACTATCCAGGATATGCATTTCAGTGCTGGAAATCACAAATTGAAGTTTTATGATTATGTACAACTGATAGAATTATAATCACTTTAAATACTTATAAACTGTCAGTTTTTTGGAGAATGGTTGTCCCACACAGAGATTGTTCGCATCATCCACACACATGCTACGGGGATACTCTACCCCTTGTTGCCGTGTGAGTAATAGAGACAAGAACTGACCGTCCTGATCAAGGAGGTGAACAGTGTTAGTGTATCTATCACACACCAGGATGTGACTGAGGACATCAGTACAGATTCCATAGGGATAGAACTCTGACTTCTGACCTGTGTAGGAGAACCTGTGTTGTCCTGATTTATTCACCACCACTACAGCCCATTTATTAAAATCTGATGTACAGATATCTCCATTGATGTTTTCTGTGATGAAGTGTGGATAACTATACAATCCCTGTCCTTTGTTATCCCTCTGTATGTTCTGTAGTTCTTTTCCTGTCTTGTTGTACCTGGTGACTTTACCCTCTTCATCTGTCCACATCCCCACCAGTAAGTCCCCGTTGATGTGGGAGGAGTGTATGCTGAGTGGTTCCCAGTCTCCATTTTGAATGAATTCAGTGATATTATTATCCTGTGTCATCCTATTGATGACATTCTTGTTTTGGTCTGTAAAGATCAGATCGCTGTCCTGTGTGACTGTGTGGTAACCTTCCATTCTACCACTGGTTTTTATCTTCTGTATCACATTCCCCTGTAGATCTGTTTGGACAAGATTACCCTTGTTGTCACTGATCCAGAGTCTGTCTGATTGATCTAGTGATACATGGCATACATTATCAACAACTGGTACATTGAACTCCCTGACCTTGGTGACAGAGGCAGATAGAGACAGTGTTTGTTTCTTGTCAGATTTCAAATCTTTATCTTGTTCACTTGTAGTTTTTATTGATGTAGAAAAAGAAACAGTTTCCATGGGCTTTACTCTTCTTAATGTTTCCTTTCTATTTGTTTCAGTTATCTTCCCTAGTAATTTAGCAACCTCTTTTTTGCTGTATTGAGCAGAGGAAAATTCTGGTTTGACAGGTTTTGTGGTTTCTGGTATGGATTTTATTTGTAAGTTCTCTGGAAGTTTAGTTGTGAAGTTAGTAAGTTTAGTAGAGGACAGGTAACTCTGGAACTCTTTAACAAGGTCACTGAGATAGACAATGTAATCATCAAATGTCTTCTCTTGACTCTTTAATTTCTCCAATAATGACTTCTCTATTTGGTTTAATTCTTCCATATTTTCTGAGAGCACTGTGTCCACCATGTTTTTGAGAGAATCTGCTTCAGCCTTCATGGATGTCCGTATGCTGTCCATGATCTGTTTAACTTCTGTGGCATCTTCCCGAACTTCTTTCTGTAAATCCTGTGTCGTGGGAACAAAGTAATTATGGATTTTATAGAGTTCCTTTTGGCATAATTTAAACTTATCTGAGTAGATAGTTTCTAAATCAGTAAAACGATGCCCCTGGTGTTCTTGCATTGTAGCACACTTTGAACATAAAGGGATATTGCATTCCTTGCAGAAAATATCAATATCTTTAGTGGGATGGATCTTGCATTTCTGCACAGGAAGTTGTCGTTTCCGTAGTTGATAAAGGACTACCTCATGGTTCTTGTTTTCTGAAATCTTCAGATGTTGGTCCCTGCATGGTTTACACATCTGTTGATGACAGGAATTGCAGTAGAATTCACAATTTCTCTCACAATCTTCTACACCACACTCTAGAAAGTGTTGAGGAGTGTCTGGAATTTTCGGTTTGGAAAGTGCCATCTAAAATTAATATTAAAAGGTTGTTGTATGCATGTGGATTTCAAAATTGTAACAGATTTACATATTGAATTAAATTGTTTAAGTTTTCAGAATACGATACATACATGTAAATTATTAAGTCAGACTGAGAAGGAATGCCCCATAAAGGTTTATCCGAGATTCCTCTGACTCTAACCCCCACTTTTATATTGTGTCTTGTCCCCCGCAAAAGTCACAATATAAAAGCGGGGGTTAGCAGTCAGAGGAATCTCGGATTACATAAAGGTGTAAAGTTGTAAATTCTTCTGTTGGTTAGATCTTAGATTATCTTAAACAAATAGGACTTGAGTCAGCAATATGCTCTTTTTCAGAAAAATATAAATTTCATGTATGCAGGCGTCCCAGATACTTACTTTTTAAACAAATGACCTCTAAATGTATAGATCTTCTTTGGAATGTCGGAGTGAGATTTTTGTCGAGACTTAGACGAGATCTGTATTTTACTTCCTGGTTGGAGATAAATTTAAATCTCCCAGGTGCAACTGTACTTAAGTACCGAATGAATAATATTGTTGAATATAATTTAGAAGTACCAAGTATATGTTATTGAAGGGGAAAATGTTAGAAAGTAAAACAAATTTATTTTACATAAATATCCAAGTTTTGTTATAAAATGTAAATAAATATGTTTATTTGTTTTCTCTTATGAGCCCAAAAAAGTAGTTGTTGCTAAAAATTTCTTCTCAAAAACCACTGTCTTGCGAACTTATACACAAGGATAAGGATATGTTGAAGATTCATCTTTAAATAAATCTTATTCACAAGAACTACTAGATTTAAAAATAAAAATAAAGTCTTGATTAAAAAATTCCTGAGGTAGTGTAAATTTCAAGCATAGTCTTTGGAGGTAGGGTGGGACATATATAGGGGATCAAGGTTTTATATCCTTATATTTTGAAATTCTTCATTCTTTCTCTAACAAATCACTGGACCATAAAAGATGGAGCTCGTGTTCTAGCTACCTTATAGCCTTGGAAATGTAGCTCTCTGCTTTTGAAAATTCAGACAGATAAAGCAGACAGCTGTAAATCCAAGGGTTGTAAAAGCCTTCGAATTATGCAACCATTTTTTTTGGTCGCTCACAGTAGAGAAATTTTATACAATTAATTCTTGATAAATCACCACCATTTGTAATTTTAGAAATCATGGCATTATAATGAATTTGGTGATGGATTGAATTTCCTATTGTTTAGGAAACAAGAAGTAGAGTTACTGTTCTTAGAAATACCAATTAGCATTTCTATTTTATTATTATTACATGTACATATAAAAACATATTTCTAAATTTGAAAATACTTCAAGTAATTTTTTTATGTACATTTCGTTTTTTAAAAAAAAAGGTGCAGTTATGAAATAAAGACAAGTACATTTGTATGCATGTAAATCTGCATGTCTGATATTAAAAAAAAATGCTGGGTCAATCATCGTAATATTGCCAATAGTATGTAAAAAGAATTACTGAATAAATTAATTGTTTATGGCATCATCCTTAATAATACATTTACAATTTATATCGTATAATTATTTTTAAAGCAAATTTTGCAACGTTTAAAGCAGAGATCATCAAAATAATATTGTTATCGGCGTTCTTAAACAACGACCACTTTCGTGGCGAAGCTGTGACTAAATTATTTTTAGTTCACCTGAGCTGAAAGCTCAAGTGAGCTTTTCTGATCACATTTTGTCCGACTGTCTGTCTGTCTAGCTGTCTGTCTGTCTGTAAACTTTTCACATTTTGACCTCTTCTCAAGAACCACCAGACCAAGTTCAACCAAACTTGCCACAAAGTATCCTTGGGTAAACGGGATTCCAGTTTGTTCAATTGAAGGGCCACGCCCTCATTCAAGGGGAGATAATTGGAAATTAATGAAAGTTTGGTGACATTTTAACAAATCTTCTTCTCAAGAAACACTGTGATGAAACTTATGGGGAAAGATCCTCAGGTAGTGTAAATTAAAATTTATTTAAATCATGAACCCTGGGGATAGGGCTGGGCCACAATGAACGACCAAAGTTTTACATAGAAATATATAGGAAAATTTTTGAAAAAATCTTCTTCTCAAGAATAGCAGAGCAATAATTGATCATATTTATATGGAAACATCCTCAGGTAGCGTAGATTGAAGTTTGTTCAAATCATGATCCTTGGGGGTAGGGCAGGGCCAAAATAGCAGACCAAAGTTTTGCATAGAAATCTGTAGGAAAATTCTTTAAAAATCTTCTTCTCAAGAATGACAAAGCCATAATTGATCATATTTATAATGAAGCACCCTCAGGTAGTGTAGATTCAAGTTTGTTCAAATCATGACCCCCCCGGGGATAGGGCGGGGCCACAATGGCTGACGAAAGTTTTACATAGAAAATATAGGAAAATTCTTCAAAAAATCTTCTTCTCAAGAATAGAAAAGCTATAATTGATCATATTTATAATGAAGCATCCTCAGGTAGTGTAGATTCAAGTTTGTTCAAATCATGACCCCGGTGGTAGGGCGGGGCCACAATGGCCGATCAAAGTTTTACATAGATATAGGAAAATTCCTAAAAATCTTCTTCTCAAGAATAACAAAACCATGATTGGTCATGGGACTACTTTTGGATTTTAACTTTTCAATAATAAACCAATTTCTACTTTTTCCTAGCCACAGAGCTCAGGTGAGCGATGTCACTGATATGGCCTATGGGCCTCTTGTTACTGAAAATTGAGTCATATTTTGTCAAATCCAAAGAAGTGTTTATGCAATCAATTCCATTGAATTTAATTTACAATATGTACAATTTGTTCAGTATAATGTTCAACAGAAGGAACACTATTCAGGATATGCATTTCAGTGCTGGAAATCCCAAATTGAAGTTTTATGATTATGTACAACTGATAGAATTATAATCACTTTAGATACTTGTAAACTGTCAGATTTTTGGAGACTTGTCCCACACAGAGATTGTTCTCTTTATCCACACACACACTACGTGGAAGGGATAGTCCTTGTTGTTTTGTGAGTAATAGAGACAAGAACTGTCCATCCTGATCAAGGAGATGAACACTGTTATTTATAAAGTATCCATCACACACCAGGATGTGACCGAGGACATCTGTACAGATTCCATAGGGCCAGAACCCTGACTCCTGACCTGTGTAGGAGAACCTGTGTTGTCCTGATTTATTCACCACCACTACTCCTTTATCATAGTCTGATGTACAGATATCTCCATTGATGTTTTCTGTGATGTAGTGTGGACTACTATACAGTCCCTGTCCTTTGTTATCCCTCTGTATGTTCTGTTGTTCTTTTCCTGTCTTGTTGTACCTGGTGACTTTAGCCTCTCCTTCTGTCATCATCCCCACCAGTAAGTCCCCGTTGATGTGGGAGGAGTGTATGCTGAGTGGTTCCCAGTCTCCAGTTTTAATGAATTCTGTGATATTATTATCCTGTGTTATTCTATTGATGACATTCTTGCCTTTGTCTGTAAAGATTAGATCCCTGTCCTGTGTGACTGTGTGATAACCTTGATCTCTACCACTGGTTTTTATCTTCTGTATCACATTCCCCTGTAGATCTGTTTGGACAAGATTGCCCTTGTTGTCACTGATCCAGAGTCTGTCTGATTGATCTAGTGTTACATGGAATACATCATTAACACCTGGTACCTTGATCTCCCTGACCTTGGTGACAGAGGCAGATAGAGACATTGTTTGTTTCTTGTCAGATTTCACGTCTTTATCTTGTTCACTTGTAGATTTTATTGGTGTAGAAAAAGAAACAGTTTCCATGGGCTCTACTCTTCTTAATGTTTCCTTTTTATTTGTTTCAGTTATCTTCCCTAGTAATTTAGCAACATCTTTTTTGCTGTATTGAGCAGAGGAAAATTCTGGTTTGACAGGTTTTGTGGTTTCTGGTATGGATTTTATTTGTAAGTTCTCTGGAAGTTTAGTTGTGAAGTTAGTAAGTTTAGTAGAGGACAGGTAACTCTGGAACTCTTTAACAAGGTCACTGAGATAGGCAATATAATCATCAAATGTCTTCTCTTGGCTCTTTAATTTCTCCAATAATGACTTCTCTATTTGGTGTAATTCTTCCATATTTTCTGAGAGCACTGTGTCCACCATGTTTTTGAGAGACTGAGCTTCAGCCATCATGGATGTCCGTATGCTGTCCATGATCTGTTGAACTTCTGTGGCATCTTCCTGAACTTCTCTCTGTAAATCCTGTGATGTAGGAACAAAGTAATTATGGATTTTAGAGAGTTCCTTTTGGCATAATTTAAACTTATCTGTGTAGATAGTTTCTAAATCAGTAAAATGATGCCCCTGGTGTTCTTGCATTGTAGCACACTTTGAACATAAAGGGATATTGCATTCCTTGCAGAAAATATCAATATCTTTAGTGGGATGAATCTTGCATTTCTGCACAGGAAGTTGTTGTTTCCGTAGTTGATAAAGGACCACCTCATGGTTCTCATTTTCTGAAATCTTCAGATGTTGGTCCCTGCATTGTTTACACATCTGTTGATGACAGGAATTGCAGTAGAATTCACAATTTCTCTCACAATCTTCAACACCACACTCTAGAAAGTGTTGGGCAGTGCCAGGAATTTTCGGTTTGGAAAGTGCCATCTAAAATTAACATTAAAAAGTTTGTTACATGCATGTGGATTTCAAAATTGTAACAGTTTTACATATTGAATTTAATTGTTTAAGTTAAACTAAACTCAATTTCAGAATACGATATATACATATATTTTATTAAGTCAGACTGAGAAGAAATGCCCCATAATAGTGCAAAGTTTGTAAATTCTTCTGTTGTATTAAATCTTAGATTATCTTTAACAAATAGGACTTGAGTCAGTAAAATGCCCCTTTTCATAAATATATAAATTTCCTGTCTGTGGGCATCCCAGATACTTACTTTTGAAACAAATGACCTCTAAATGTATATATCTTCTTTGGAATGTCGGAGTGAGAATTTAGTCGAGACTTAGACGAGATCTGTATTTTACTTCCTGATTGGAGATAAATTTAAATCTCCCAGGTACAACTGTACTTTAGTACGGAATGAATAATATTGTTGAATATAATTTATAAGTATTTGTTATTACAGGGGAAAATGTTAGAAAGTAAAAGAATTTAATTACATAATTATCCAATTTTCGTTATAAAATGTAAATAAATATGTTTATTTGTTAGCTCTTATGAGCCCCAAAAAGTAGTGGTTGCTAAAAAATTCTTCTCAAAAACCACTGTCTTGCAAACTTATACACAAGGATTAGGATATGTTGAAGATTAAAAAATCTTCTTCTCAAGAACCACTGGGCCAGAAAAGCTGAAAATTATTTGGAAGCATCCTGGGATATTGTAGATTCTAAATTGTTCAAATCATGAACCCCTGGGGTTTGGGGGGGCCACAATAAGGAATCAAAATAAACATAAAAACATGTATATAGGAAAAAACTTTAAAAATCTTCTTTTTAGGAAGTGCTATGGCATAAAAACTGAAATTAGTATGTGGAAGGATCCTGGCGGGGTAACTGTAGATTCTAAGTTGTTCAAATCATGACCCCAAGGGGTATGGCAGGGAACCCAAGTTTTACATATATAGAGACATATAGAGAAAATCTTTAAAAATCTTCTTCTCAAGAACCACTGGGCCAGAAAAATTGAAACTTATGTAAAAGAATCTGTGGGTAATGTAGATTTAAATTGTGCATATATGACTCCATATCATGACTGGGGCTGGGCCACAATTAGGAATCCAAGTTTTACAATGAACTGTATTTAAAAAAATCTTCTGGAGAACTACTGGACCAGAAAAACTGAAAACTATTTGAAAGTATCCTGGGATAGTGTAAATTTTAAATTATCCAATTTATAACCCGTGGGGTAGGTTGGGGTCACAATTAAGGTATTAGAAGGAGAAAATCTGGTAAAGAACAGCATGGTCAAAGCTTCTCAGGTGAGCAATGTGGCCCACGGGCCTCTTGTTATTATAATTAAACAGAAAACAAAATTATTATAATAGTCCATGTAAAAATTATTGTTTATTTAATTCTTATTTATTTATTTCATTCATTGCATGTACCTTGTCGGGCTTTGCATGCTTTACAACAGGGATAGAGTCAACCAATTATCCGCACTTCACTGACCACATGCACCTGTGGCGGTATATCGAGATATATTTGCATATCCACTGCTCTCTCCCTCTATAAACATGTGGTCATCAACTGCGTTCATAGCACTATAGACGCAATTGCTTTTGCTATGACTGCAATTGCTCTATCACATTCGTGTAGAACAAACTCCACTACAATGGTATCATGTGCCGAGAAGTATATATATGTCGAAACTTTTCGTAAAAGGAATAAAAATAAGTTTTTAATAATATTCTTTGAAAAAAAAAAAAGAAATTCAAAAAAATTAAAATTGCTGATTTTTATCTTAAAAAATTTAGTTTTGGTCAATGTATTTAATTGTATAATAAAACTCTTTAAAATTTTATAAAACTGCCATACTTTTATTTTTTTGTATCATGTATATTTGTACAAAGAAAGATAACTCTTCACACGTGGGTGATAACATTCAGAAAACTTAAGTATATGTATATATCTACTTCAAGAATAATTTCAGCTATTAAAAATAAGTAGAAAAACTAAAAAAAAATCATAGAAAAGCATTCTGGAGTAATAATCATTATAAAAGCATTATCATTTTTCATCATAGTGTTAAATCATTGATTTTTGTCAGAGGGTTTCAATAACGTTGATCGATGACGTCACAACTGCATCAGAACAAAAATTAAGAGAATGTGTTGACGGCGCTGCTTGTATTTGTGTTTGAGAGGGGAATACTTTATAATTGTTTGTGATTTATGAGATAAAAAGATCATTGATCAGGTGTACTGATTTTAGAGCCGTATGTTTTTCATTACTGAAGACAAGAAGCCGCGTCCTTATATAAGTCAGGATTTCCTCTGATATTCTTGAATAAATGCAAATATAAGTAATAAACATCGATTAATCAGTGAACATGGCATTATGAATAGCAATAGCTCTGCTGGCATATTTTCCATGATGCGCTAACGCACATCATGAAATATGCCAGCAGAGCAATTGCTATTCATAACGCCATGTTCACTGAATAACGTTGTTTATTTCTTAAATAATTGACACTTAAAAATCAACAGTTGTTGTGAAAACAGGGTGGTGGATGGCGGTATGCGAATTTGGCGTTATAAAGAGAATTTTTTATAACAGGAAAAACGTTCTTGGGAAATCATGGCGGTATTGCGAAAATTGCGATGAATCGAATGATGATAATTCGAGAATTGACTACATCTTTCTGTATAAGAAAACTTTTTTTTAAAATTTCATATGGATAAAATTATATGTGCAAGAAAAGAATGTTGATAAAAATGTTAATTAAGTAAAGGCTTCCGTTTCCAACGGAAGACCTTCTACTTATTCTGATGATTAAGATTATTCTTATTATTCTTTTTTTTTTCTTTTCCTAGACGCCAACTTTGAGGCCTCATATTTCACTCATTTCTCAATGGATTTTGCTCAAATTTTCTGAAAATATAGACGTTACTAAACTCTATCAGAATTTTGTCTAGCATTCCAAAAATTCACTTCAATCCGCTTTTGAGTTATTTCCCTTTAAATGAAAATTTATAGGCTTTCATTTCCAGACAAAGGCTCGGAGATGGCAAAAGCTGCAGTAGAAATTTTACTGATTTTACACAATAGAAGGATTGAAGTTGTGCATAGTGGTTTCTGTTTTTGGATTTCTTTATTCAAAATGGTGCTACATAGGGGTAAAAAATTAGAACGCCTAAAAGAGCAAAAATTTACACATATTTTGCTTATTATCTTCTAAACTAAAAATATTTTGTTAAAACATTTAGAACAAAATTTGTGCAGAATTACAAGATCTTTCAAATGATATCTCGAAAAAAGGTCTGACCCCTAAATTAAGGGATCTAGAGTGGCCAAAATTTTTTTCCAGATATCTCAAAAAGTATTGAGAATTTGTAATACGTCCAAGAAGCAAAGTTGTTCAAAATGTTAAGCTTAACCTATTGAAGTCGTCAAAATGCGTCCGGCGACGTCACTTACGGACAAACAGAAAATGCATATTTTTGCCGTTCTTGACAAGTTTTTGGGTTACATATGTCACTGGAAGCATTAAACTTAATTTTCCATCCATTGACATTACTTCCGGTCACACCGGAAGTAGCCAAAAATAGCTTATTTTTTAAGGTTTTGATGCAAAATTGAAATTATAAATTGACTGGAGACGACTAAGCTCATTGTTTTCTTTTGTCGATGTCACTTTCGGTCAAAACAGGACGGAAGACCTACTCGTTGCTTTGCAATGAGCTTTGCTCTAGTGTATTCTTAAATTTTCATAGTTCCTCCACCAATCCATCTCTTTAAATAATCTTTCTATGAACTAGTTAGATCTTTTCTCTTTTCAGGGTGTTTTATGTAGAACATTACAAGGTCACGGTCACTGGGTTAACATCCTGGCACTTAGTACTGACTATGTCATGAGGACAGGGGCATTTGATCCAGCTAATGCAAAATTAGTACCAGCTGACATACAAGAATCAGGTGAGACCTTATACCTGTAGTTCATTTTTATACATCTAATTTACATGTTGTAGCATTGTGCTGCACATAGAGTTATCCCCCTCACCCTTTTAACCCTGTTATACATAACAAGCATTCTGAGAGTATTGCATAAGCAATACATGTCCCCTACTCGGTTCCCCTTTTTATGCCCCCTTTAGTTTCCGTTTATTTCCCATTCATTTTCTTCGCAACCGTTGCACATACTTAAATGAAATCTAAGAAAAATTCCAATTATTTGCAGTCTCCGTTCATTTTCTTTGGAGAGGTTGCACATATTGAAATGGATTTAGTATACGGATTAGGCCATATAAAATTGAAATCTTGGTTCTCAGGCCCGCGCGCATCTGTTTTGAGGTAGCTGCATTGCCGATTTTATTGTATTTTTGATAAAATAAAAAGTTGGTATTGCGGAGACCAATTCGGGGAAAAAATTTCCGACCTCATTTTTTTGTAGTTTAGTATTCAAATATCACTTCCGGTAGCCATTTACAATGAGATTTTGGCTACTTTGTTTGTAAATACATTCGAGGACATTACCTACGATGGTTACACGCTGTCAAGCAATGGATAAAGCAGAAATTTTGACCAGAAATGGAAAGTATATCTGTGATTAAAAAAATTATCTTTATGTGAAAAAAAATTTGGAAATTAAAATAAAAAAAAATACCTCCCTCATCTACTTTATTGCCAATAAAATGAAAAATAAAATGCCGCCCTCCCGCATCTGTTTTGGAGAAAATTGGCCTGAGAACCAGGGAATTAAATTTAGATAGCCTTAGTCAGATGAAAATATAGATCAAGTTCTGTTTTGGGTAAGATCGCAAAATAATTGACAGAGTTATGCCCCTTGGACTTAGAAAAATTCCACCTATTTGCAGTTTCCGTTCATTTTCTTTGGAGAGGTTGCACACATTGAAATAGAATTTAGTATACAGATAAGTCAGATGAATATCTAGGTCAAGTTCTGTTTTTGGTATGATCGCACCATAATTGACAGAGTTATGCCCATTAGACTTAGAAAAATTCAAATTATTTGCAGTTTCCGTTCAATTTCTTTGGAGAGGTTGCATGTATTGAAATGAAATTTAGTATACAGATTAGTCGGATGAATATCTAGATCAAGTTCTGTTTTGGGTATGATAGCACCATTTTTGACAGAGTTATGCCCCTTGGACTTAGAGAAAATCCAATTATTTGCAGTTTCTGTTCATTTTCTTCGGAGAGGTTGCACATATTGAAATTGAATTTAGTATACAGATTAGTCAGATGAATATCTAGGTCCAGTTATGTTTTGGATACAATGGCACCATAATTGACAGAGTTATGCTTTTTTGGACCTAAAAAAATTCCAATTTGTGGGGGAGGGGGCATAAGTGTTTTACAAACATCTCTTGTCTTCAGGATGTCATTATATGATATGCAAAAGTTATGACCAAGGTAAAAATGCTTGATTTTGAGGTTGTGAAGGCCTTTAACTTTATAAAATAATCGACATAAAGATTAAAATTCAACTAATTTTTTTTCAGCGTCTTTTTCATGCTTTGTATTTACCATGTTGACCATCAGAATTAAGCGCAGCACAAACCTGATCTGAAACCATTATGAAAAATTAAAAATGCCATATTTCTGTCAAAAATCAATAAGGCGAAACAAAAGTCAAACTTGATCAGTAACTCATCAAGATACACTCACATACCAAAATTCAGCTCAATATCTGCAAGCGTTTAGGAAAAAAGAGTGTTGAAAACCAATTAGGATAAACTGACAGACAGACGGGGACAGACGGAGGGACAGATGGATGGACAGATGCAGAGGAAACCTAAAGTCCCCTCCAGTTTCACCAGTAGGGGACTAATAAAAAAATTTTGCCCAATTTAAAATATGTCCAGATTCAGTTGTGTTCAGTTAGAGGAAACTCTCTTTATTGCATTTGCCACATTTTGAATTATGACAAAGTCTGACGATAAATGACAATGGAGAAAGGGATGACAATTTCTCTGTAACACATTACAGTGATCGCAAACTGATACAACACTTATACCAAGCATCTAAAAACGGAGCTTCACGATACTTTAGTCTCCATAAAGCAGAAGTATTTTTCATCTTCATCAGAAGATTTTGCATCAGTATTGGAAATATCTTCTTTTATTCATTAAATTGGTTTTTTTTTTTAATCCCTTATATTTGAAAAGTGTTCAACAATAATAAAAATGCATGTTTGTTTCATACTGATCGGTATTTTTTTGGCACGATCAAAATGTCCAAACACACACAGAATAAAATACATGATTGTTATTATGTGTAACAAATTATTAAAATAACATTAATCCACCACCTGAAGTTTCTGGCTTTCCCTCACACATTACATGGCACCTTTATGTCTTGACTAATGTCGGGGGCCAGACTTCCTGTGCTTCTACAGAAAGAAAACCCCGTCCTCCACACAGAAGTGATGTCAATAAGATCCTCCTCGTTTACGTAGAATCTGGCATTGTTTTCACCCTCCACAATCAGGTGGTGGTCCTGGCTGACTCCTGCATGAGTTTTGTAGTAGTGGATAACGGCGCTGTTATAATGACCTTGACCTTTAGGATTTTCAAGTCTGGTCACAATGTCTATCTTGGGGCCATGACAATTGCCTGATTCTTTGACCTGCATGTTGTAGTGTATGTCCCCAAATCTTTGTTCGGGGATCGATTCCTTGATGAATTGAAACTTGAAGATAAAAGACAAAATGTTATATTCCCATAGAAACTGCTCAC